AGCAGCGGCCGGACCTGGACGGCCGTGGCGTGCGCTCGGCGGTGGCCCTCCTACGGCTGCGTGTGCTCGTCGACGTCTGCAGGTGCCGTGGACGCGCCAGACAATGGCTACGGCACTGCTGCCTGGCCCCGACGGCGGTCGGTTGGGCTAGCCCAGTGGCGGCAGATCTAGGCGCAGCTAGGCGCTCCCTGGTGGGGTTGGCGGCATGGCGGCCATCTCGGTGCGCTGGTGGCGCTGGGGCTGTGGGCCACCTCTCCATGCGCCTCGGCTCCACGGGCGTCCGACTCGACGAGACGCGGGGTGCTACGGCGGGTGTCTGCGTCGGCGGCGGCGCTGCCCGCGCGGCCGGCGGGGACTGCGTGGTGCTGGTCGCCGCACGTGTCTCCGTTATCGTGCTCAGCTACATCGCTTACGGGCGCGGTCGGCTGGCGCTGGCCGGCCCGTCCGTGGCTGCTCGGATCTTGGCGGGGGGTGCGGCCGGCTACGGTTGGCCCACGGCCGTTCGCCCCCAATCCCCGACACCTACCTTCTCCAGTGAAACGGCCGGCTGGTGGGGCGGCTCCGGGCTCTGCCCTCCCCGCCCAGGAGTTATAGCTTTGCGGCTACCCCTCGTGGGGGCGGTGCTTCTAGATGCATGGTGCTCTGGGCGAAAGCTAAGTCCGGTTGCGGCCGGGCGGACGACGGTGACGCCTTTGGCGCCACATACCTCCCTGAAGGTGTCGTTCTTCGAGCCCCATGCTCCTGTGCCACCAGCGCCGGATTCTGGGTGAAAGCCCTGCCTTAGAGGCCTCTAAGACCAGCGGCCACAGCGTCCATGTCACTGCCATGGACGTCCTTCCTGAAGGTGTCGCTGAAGAATCAGCCTGTTTCCTGCCGTCGGTTCCTTGAGGAGTCCCTCACTGTGCCTGTTGTGGTCGTCTCGACTCGCTTTGGTCTGTCCTATAGCTGTTGACCTTACCCTATTTGTTGTCGTGGATATCGTAGCGGATGCTTTGCCACTACTGCTTATCCCCCCGCGGATGTTTGTCTGCTGGTTGGTTGTTGGCGGATGCTTTGCCGCCATTGTCGTTGGCCTCCTCTCTTGCAGATGCTTTGCTACCGAGAGTCACCTGGCCCTTCCCCCACTACGGATGCTTTGCCGTAGTGGATACCTGCGCTATTTCACCGGCGGATGCTTGGCCTCTGGTTGGTTCGTTGGCGGATGCTTTGCCGCCGTTTGGTTTGTTGGCGGATGCTTTGCCGCCGTTGCTGCTGGACGGTCTTTTGTGTAGGCAACCATTGCGATGTTGTATCCTTTCTTCTTATAGGCTCAGTTCGTAGGTTTTAGGTGTCGTGGCCAGTCGTCCGCTTTTTGTATCCTTTTCTCTTGTTCTTAGTTTCTACTCCAGGTCACACACCACTAGCTTGGTGGTTTGTAATCTGTGCTATGAGGGTTCTCTCGTAGCTGCGTCGTGTAATTCTCTCTGCTTAATGAAAAATGGGCTATATTCCCCCTTCTAGAAAAAAGAAAAAAAAAGTGTTCAATTCTGCAGCCTTAACACTTCGATTCTGCTCTTCATGGTACCATTGGGGCTTAGTTATTCCGTTAGATGACTTGCTGCCTGTCCCCCAATTCAATTATTATCACCCTATACTCCTATATTTACAGGCATTATATTATACAATTATAGTTTGATGGGCCAATTGTCTCTTCTTGCTCCATGCAGCACCCGTGTTTCGAACGAACTTGGTGCCGGGCAGCCTCAGGCAGCAAAGTTGGCTATGAGGGTAGTCATGTGCATGGCCTTATCTTCAGGATTCATTCTGACCATGGCCATGATCCTGCTACGCAGTGTCTGGGGACACATGTATAGCAATGAGCAGGAAGTTGTGGCATACATTGCTAAAATGATGCCGGTTCTTGAGATATCTTTCTTCATAGATGGCCTTCACGGCTCGCTCTCAGGTGGCCAACCAAATCTGAAACTGAAATGCATCATGAGCAATAATTTTGGGGAATCAGAGTATTAGTTTTTTTAAAAAGGAACTACGGAGGGGAGAGATTCGCCGCCTGGATTTCATTAAAATTCAGAGAAGAGTTCAGATTACATAGCGCGAATCAGGAGCTAGACGAGCCCTGATTAGATGAGAATCAGAGCAGTAGTAATCTTGTGCATTTCACTTTTCCAGGTGTGCTCACAGGCTGCGGCAAGCAAAAGATCGGCGCTGTCGTTAATCTCGTCGCGTTCTACTTGGCAGGCATCCCCACGGCCGTGCTGCTTGCGTTTGTCTTCCAAATGAATGGAATGGTATGTATATCTATGTCCTTTGCTCAACATCTCGTCGTCAAACTTAGCACATGAACATCTTTAAACTCAGATAACAGCACTACAACACATGAAACTAATGATGTTGAAGCTGTCTGAGTTTAAAAATCTCTGTCTATCTTACATTTTGTGTTGTAGTATTACATTTATGCCCGTTATATGAAAAAAAAACTGTTCTGCAATACGCCCTTCGTCCCAAAATGTAAGACAGACATAAATTTCAATATGATGAACAATTAGTCTAACAATACAAAATGTTTATGCTACAAAATTTGTTAAATTGAATTTGTATTTATAAATACTTTGTAATGATCAAACTTTTGTTGCCCCAGATGATATATTATAAGATAAATAACGATTAAAATATGATTTTGAAGAGGGTAATGTGCTTGTAATTAACAGGGCCTTTGGCTCGGCATGGTGGTCTGCGGCAGCCTCACCAAGGCGCTCTTGTTTGCATCTGTCGCGTGGTTTATAGACTGGAATGAGGAAGTAAGTAGAGTACAACGACTAAGTTCTGTCAGGATGCAGCTCTAGACTAGCCAGGATGACATATTCTCCTTTCTGTTTCAAATTTCAGGCAATCAAGGCAAAGGATAGGGTGTTCACCTCATCTCTGCCAGTGGCGCATGAAATATGAACGAAGCATCATGGTAAGTTGCAGTCAACTAAAAGGCGTAATTGGAATGGTGTGGAAAAAGAAGAAGAAGAAGAAGAAGAAGTTGCCTTTGTATAGTAACAATGAAAAGCTTTATGGTGAAACCACCAATTGGCCCAGTGATTAGTCCATTTGTTCCACTAAGGTAGTGTAGAAACCCTTATGTTCCTTCAACTTCAATATTGAAATTTCAAGCAAGCCAACTCAGCATTGAATTTACCGTTCACTGAGCAACCTCCGAAATCTTTTCGCTGATAGTGCGGTGCATTTTTCAACCTTCAAACTGTTGAAATTGGACAAATATGGTACCGGACACCCTCCAACTATCGAAACTGGACAAATATGGTCCTTTAGTTAGTTTCAAAGGTGATTTTCTATCTTCAAAAATAATAAAAACCTGTTTTAATCTATAAAATTCATAATTTATGTATTTTAAATCAAAAAAATATGAAACTAGTACTATTTTCCCTAAAAATGTTATCTAACTGTTGGTAATCTATTTACATTATTAGGAACTTATTTTCCTATTGTTTCATCGCTTGAGGCTGGTTTGTTAGAAACATGAACAAGTAGACTGAAATGACTCCAAATAGATCACCAATGAATAAATATTTTTTTTAGAAAAATGGTATTAGTTTTCCAGGCTGCACTCCAGCAATGGCCCTCGGAATAAAGCCCCCAAACTCATTCTAATAGAGAATGTCACTTGAGACCCGGTTGTCGTTGACTTTCTCGGCCAAGTCGGGGGAGGAGTTTCATGGTGGGCAGTCGCGGGGGAAGCCATGGTCGCCTAGGTTGTGGGGGAAGCTGGGTCGCCGGGGAGTCGCAATCGCGCCGTCGGCAGTCACAGTTGGGGAGTCTCGGTCGCATGAGAGTCGTGGGTGGGAAGTTGCGGTGGGCGGGAGAGTTGTGGTCGAGCCGTCGGGGGAGTCGCGATCATGCTGAGGAGTTGCACAGAAACGGACGGAAGCCGTCATTTGGGGGCTTGGCCTAGAGCCCGAGGAATAAGGACCGAATGAAGGAAGGACTTAGGTGCTATCCAAATTTGAGGGTTCTAGTAGGGGTCCTACTAAAGTTGCTAGATGCATGTTTAAAGAGACGGAGTAAAACCACATAATGGAGGAGTATTCCACTGCGAGATGAATCTAACCTAGCTAAATCCTGGACCAAACATATGTGAAAATGGGTCTAACTTAACCCAACTTGGTTCAACCGTGAAACCAAATACACCCTTAGGCTATCTCCAACAACAACATCCAAAATATAAGACCCATTCGTCCTTTGGGTAGCGCTACAGGCAAAAGGTTCAATACCTATTCGGCATCTTCTCCAACAACAAGACCCAAAAGAGAATCCTTTCTGCAAATGGGTTTCCAGGAGAGAGGATGTCCATATTTGAGTTGTGCCTCTCAAGCAACCCAAAATATGTCTCCCGTATAGATACTCTGTTGGAGACTGATTTTGGGTCTCTTGCTACGATTTTGGGTCTCTTGCTACACATTTTGGGTTTGGGTGCGCATATGAGTTCCTTGTTGGAGACCGTCTTAGAGATGCATGGTTGAACTTGAATACACGTAAGCAGCCTGTTCGGCAGGCCGTAAACGATCGTGGATTATTTACTGCTGGCTGATTTGACTGGTTTAGTGTGAGAGAAAAATACTGTTCCACCTTATAATCCACGATCGTTTACGACCGAGACGAAAAGGATGAAGGATGACGGAAGCTAAAACACAAGAACACATGTACATCTGTATATAATTAATTCAGCAGTGGTACGGTATAGATCGAGGTGGAATAGCGTGTAGAACTAATTGGCATGTACAGGAAACGTCATCAATGATAGTCATAGAAAAATGAATGGATCGACAACTGCTGAACACGATACATATAGATACAATAACAATACAATGCAACGGCACCAGACTGACTACGAATCACATACAGTCTATCATACAGCAGGACTGTGTGACCATTAACAACAACTAACACAAGATGTCGTCAATGATCATGTATAGCTGGGGTTTCCTTGATCATCCTCAGAAGCACATGTCGAGGACGCAGCAGCAGCAGATGGCGGCGCAGCTGTGATGATGGGGACACAGGCATGAACAAAGCAAAGGTGATCAGAACCCTTCACATCTAGAGGATATTGTGAGTAGCATAGCATGCAAATTAGAGACGTATTCACGCGTAGGCACAAGCTTGAACATATATCCTGGTTGGAGAAGGGAGAACTAGCAGTAGTTAATTGAGCACTCACCATCCTTTCCAGAAACCGTCGCCGCCGCGGCTGGTGGTGGTCTGCTGCTGCTGCGGCTGGCCGTAGTACGCGCCGCCGTCCTGTGTCGGAGGGTACGCCGGTGGTGGCGCGACGTATGCCGGCGGCGGGGGCGCGCCGTAGGCCTGCTGCTGTCCTGGCGGTGGATAGCCTGCTTGGTAGCTCATGATCGATCGATGATCAGCTGCAAATTAAAACTGCAACGAGCTAGCTAGCGCTGTTGTCCTCTATGGTCAGCTGCAAACTGTGGGTGTGGATGGATGAACGGACGAGGACGATGATGGTAATCCATTCATGCTTCGTAAATATAGAAAGAACAGGCCAGCAGGCGCCCACGCGGTATCCATCGTCACCGATTGCTTAGACGCGTCCTCGACTTGTCTCGATATGATGATTGATTGATTAGTTGTTGATTACCCAGAAAGAAGGGTCCGACGACGATCGAGAGACGGCACGGCTAGTCGGCTACAGCTACCTGCTTTGTTGCCTATCGTTTAGACGAGCCTTTTCAATCACATCGATCTTTTTGTTGTTATTATTAAAATTAAACAAAAAGCGAATTTTCAATCACGTTTTCTCTTCCAGGCTACTGGCTACCGTACGTACCGCGACATCTGCTGCCATGAACGTTCCTCGATCGTCGTCGTCGTGTGGCTGATCCATCCGGAGAAACGGTTAGCTAGGGAAGGCGCGTTCAGCAGCGGCGGCTGGTCGCACTGTGTCACTGTCGCCTATACGGCTTGACCCTAGCGATTGAACGCGCTTTTTATTTTTGTTATCTATTTTTTAATTAGAGAAACAAAAGAAAATAGACACCGAGGAATGCGTCTTCTGTCTAGATTGGCTCTCGTTCCTGCCTTGGAACATTCGACGGCCCGGCCCAGCCCGCCTAAAGTTAGCCTACGTTTGGTGTTGGAGAGATACTTATAATAGTTTAGGACTTTTTTTTTTTCTTTTGACCATACTATTAAGGGGATATGAACTAGTAGTTTGACCTAGGTGAGTTTAATGGGTTAGGTGTAGTGTACATTTGTCAAACTTAGTACTAGATAGCTCAGGAATAGCCCAAGGATCAATTGGAGTCAACCTCATTCACAAAGGATTCTGAATTGGAAGTGAATGGAGGGTCAAATGTTGAACCGAACGCTACACAGTGATTGGAACCGGACGCGCCTCTAGTCGTATCTGTAGCAGTGGGGCCTTGCTGTCAGGGAGGACCGGATGCTGAACAGTAAACGACTGGACGCTCAGTTTGCAGCGTCAGGTCAACATTAGAGAGGGTCCAGAGACCAAAATTCCTGACCAGACGCGTCCGGTGGATGTTGACCGAACGCTGGCCAGCGTCAGGTCACTCCTGCAGCCTTCTCTGACAGGTTGATAACACGTAGCCATTGGCTATTGACCAGACGCGTCCGGTCACTTCCGGTCACCCCAAAACTGCTGAGTTGGACAATAACAGTTATGTTTTAAAGTAGGGGAGTATATATACTTCTCCTACTCGTCCAACTCAACTCACTTGTCCATTTGTTCAGCTGAGAAACACCTTTGGAGTGCAAGGGAGAGCAAGAGCCTAGTGGGGTGATTGAGATTTGATAATCCAAGATTAAGGACCTCATTAGTGCATAGGGAATAGCAACTGTGCATCCACCTTTCTCATTAAGCTTGTTTTGATCAAATGAGAGTTTGTGTTTGTTACTTTTGGTGATCGCCATCACCTAGATGGCTTGGTGGTGATAGGAAACTTGGTGATCATCCGGTGAAGCTTGTGGATGACTCAAATCAGGGTGTGAGTGGTTGTGGACGATTCACCGTGGCGGAGTGTCAAAGAATCAGTCCGTAGAGAGCACTTAATCCTTACGCACATCAAGGGGAGCTACACCCTTGCGCGGGTGCTCCAACAAGGATTAGTGGGGAGTGACGACTCTTCGATACATTGAAAAAACATCGTCGCGTTCCTCTCTTTCTCTTTACTTTGAATATTTATATTTGAACAATTTAATTCATGCCTTTATATTCTTAAAATTACCAAGCTAGAGTAGGATTGGAACCTAGGGTGCAAAACTTTTATGTGGTAGAACAATAGAAACACTTCTAGGCACAAAGGGGGTGAAATGGGCTAAGTGTAGGGCTTAGTTATTGAAAGAAATTTAGAATTAGCCTAATTCACCTTCTTCTTGGGTATCTTGATCCTTTCAATTGGTATCGAAGCCTCGTGCTCCTTAAATTAGTCTTAACCACCTAGAGCAAGATGTCCCACGGGGATGGACCCCCTTCTGTCTTTAAAAGAGATGATTTTTCTTATTAGAAAATTCGCATGGAGGCATACCTAGAGGCTTTAGATGTTGGAGTGCTTAGAGCCGCCTCACAAGTTTTCCCAACACCTAGGGATCCTGCTAACCTTCAAGGAGATGAGGTTCACTACGAGAAGTAGAATGCAAATGCTAGAAATATTCTTTTTAGAGGCCTTTGCAAGGATGTCTTTAGCCGTGTGCGAAACCACAAAGACGCCCATTCACTATAGTCGGACATTTGTGCGCTCCATGAGGGAACCAACAGTGAGCGTGACGAACTCTATCATCTTGTAATGAAGAAGCTTAATTCATTTGAAATGCTTTTAGGTGAAAGTTCTAATGAAATGTATTCACGCTTGAATGTTCTTGTAGAGGAGGTCAATGGGTTTGGACTCACTCAAATGCAACCATCCGATGTTGTAAGAAAGATCTTGAGTGTCCTCCCCATTGACAAGTATGGGTAAATTGTAACGGTGCTTCATCAAGGTGATCTTTCCACCGCAAAGCTAACTCAAATATTGGGGATGATCAATGCACATGAGATGTATATGCACATCACTCCACAAGATGGTTCTTCTTCCACCAAGAAGAAAGATTTGGCATTCAAGGCTAGCCAAGAGAAGAGGGGCAAAGCAAAAGTTGATCTTGATAGCTCAAGTGATGATGAGATTGATGATGCAAGCCTTGCCCTCATGGTGAGAAGAACCGCCAAGATGCTCAAGAGGCTAAAAAGAATGGTGTCAAGTTTGATGGCAAGAAGAAGAAATTCTTCACTAGTAGTAGAAGAAAGCCCATCTCCGAAATGGATTGCTACAATTATGAAGATCTTGGTCATCTAGCCCATCAATGCTCTAAACCCAAGAAAGACAAGTATAAGAAAAAGTACAAGGGCAAGAAAGATGACTCAAGTGATTATGATGATGAGAAGAAGAAGAACAAGCCATACAAGACGAAAAACAGCAAGAAGAAGGAATTTCAGAAGAAGAAGAATGGCAAGGCCAATATTGTAGGTGATTGGCTCACGGACATTGAATCATTAAGTGGCCCATCCGATGATGAAAGTAAAAATGAGAAGGAGAAGGCGACCGCTCTTGTGATTGGCTCTTCACTATCTCAATCGACACCGCCGTCATTATCCTCTACACACCTATGCCTCATGGCCAAAGGTGAACGAAAGGTACAAAAAGATGATGATAGTAGTGGTGATGATAATGTTAGTGATGATGAGAATGCTAGTGATAGTGATGAAGAATTTGAATCACCTTCTTATGGTGATCTTGTCAAATTATTAAACCAATATACTAAAATCATTAGAAAAACAAGAGTTAAAAATGAGAAGCTAGAACTTGAGAATGACTCACTCTTAGCAAAGTATGACATATCCGAAAAAGCTAACGATGAGCTTAGAGAAGAGAATAAAATTATGTCATCCAAAGTCAAGGAGCTCAAAACCTCTAAAAGGGACCTTAGGGAAAAACATGATAAACTTGAGGAGATACACAATGAGCTTACCACTAGTTACAATTTGCTAAAAGAAGAGTACACCAATCTTAAGATTAATCATGATAATATTGTTCTTTCTCATGAGTTATTGTCTAATGAGCCACATAATGCTACTAACAATATTGTTAAAATTAATATAGTCACATCATGTAATGACTTGATTGTTGAGAGCGTTGATCAAGGTTCAATCACGTTTTCTCTTCCAGGCTACTGGCTACCGTACGTACCGCGACATCTGCTGCCATGAACGTTCCTAGCTCGATCGTGTTGATCTGCGGACGCCATGTGGAGCGGCCAGAGCGCGCGCTCCCAATAGGAGTAGGAGTTGCCAGGACGGCACGCCTCTGCAGCTCTGCTGACCTGCACACGGTAAGGTGTGGCCGGTGGTTCAACTGTACGACAGGCGTGGAGGATGGAGCTAGCAGTCCAGTAATGCATGCATGCCGTCACCAGACATTTCGTCAAAGAAGAAAATAATAATGCCTTCACCAGATGATGATCCATCAGGACTCAGGTGGACCGTACGTGTGTTGAAACAAAATATAGTATTCCCTCTGCCATATAACATATAATAACTAAGGTGCAGTTTGGTTAGGACTTTGTAAACGCAAACGTCATGAAGTTGATATCGTCGTGATCTGATGATTTCACGCTGCTATCAACTGTTGACTAGGATCTGATTTCACGGTATCGCTTTACACCTGTGTTAGAACCAAACACAATCGGGATCGACTTGCACGGTAACCAGGTTACCAGCAAAATGGACAAACCAAACGGCACCTAAATAATAACGTCTTCATATCGCTGAAACAATGCTTTTGAAAACGAAACATTGACTACTACTTTTTGTCCCAAAATATTTATTACAAAATGTAGAAAATGCTAATATTTATTTCCAACTTAATTAGTTGGAGGGAGTAAATTGAACCAAATGTTACTTTGGGGTTATTTAGACATAGACTAAACGCGAAGGGAGTAATATGGACCTTTTCCTTTTATGAAAAAATGGTAGTTGCCACCGGAAAATAATAATTCACAAAAAAATAAATATGAATCAACAACTACTCAATACATACGCATACACTACACTTACAACACCACCGGAAAGAAAGCTATCGCTATGCATCACGGGTCGTCATCAAGATCATTGACATCAATATCAACTCAGCATCTCGTCATCGTCAATGATATGATCACACTTCTCACGGAAAATAAAGGAAAAATTGTGCCACACTAATGATGATTGATGAGCAGCTGGGTGGATGTCGTCGTCAATCGTGATCTTCAGAAGCACATGTCGAGGAGGCAGCAGCAGCAAATGGCGGCGCAGCTGAGAGACATCAGGGGGAGTAGCAATAAAAAAAAGTTAGTAA